GGGGGGGTGTACTGATCCTAAATAAACTTGGCCGGCCGTGTTTCATCATCTTATTTTGCCTCATTACGCGCTGCTACGCCCTGCAGAGAGGTGAGTGGGACCTCTCGGGGGAAGTAACAACTTTGAGAGCGGCCAATGGAGAGGTTGAACAAACTGGTCCATTGAAAAAGTCAAAGCGCAAAGCGCGGGGCGCATAAAGGAAAGCACGAAGCAGGCACAGCAGGGACACTGAGAAGCGCCAGAACCAGCAGCAGCAGCCTGAGGACTGCAGGCCATGGCGTGGCGGAGCCGAGTGGAGGGCCCAGAGAAAGCACTCAACACCGGCCGTGTAAAACGACTTCCATCACTGATTGTGAGGTGCAAAGTAATGGACACCTGTTTTTAAGTGGACTCAGAAAACCGTATCTTTCTAGGAACGGAAGCATGACTTCATCTTAACCAACGAGATCTTCGTCGAAACACAAGTGAATCAGGCAAACATCGTAAGTACCTTTTACCAACGCATTTTAATTCACGGACTTTCTCCGTCTACTGTGGTTCACCTAGGTACTTCAGCAAACGTCCCTCTTGGACCGATAACTGCTGATTACCCATGGCTAAGGTACCTCTTAACAATTTTTACAGTTGTTTTTTCTTTGACACACTGGACCCTATGTCCCATACAAACGACCGTGAGACAATAAGCGCGCTTGTAAGTGTGCGACACCTTATGGCTCCACACTTGTAAGTGTGATACATGTGTTGTCTTACACTTGTAAGTGTGATACGCCTGTGGTATTGCTGCTGAAAGTGTGCCACATTTGGTATTGCACCTACAACTGTTGGATTTTATCACTCTTGAGTTCGGAGTCATGGCTTATCAGTAGTGATGTGCGTGGTCACAGGTGGTATGCACGTAAACACAGCTGTTGCAGAAGAAGTGTGATTGTGAGGTGCAAAGTAATGGACACCTGTTTTTAAGTGAATAATACTTCGACGATTTGAAGTGGTCTAAGCAAACAGCAAGATCACTG